ATATATATATATATATATATATACACACACACACACAATTCACACACACAATACACACACACAATACACACATAAATATATATATAAAGAAAAGATTTATAGACACACATGTTGAGCACACCTAGCCAGACAGCCCCTCCTTTGCTCCCTCTTTGTGCCTCTGGGTAGTTACAACTCGTTCCTCGTTCTTGTAACGCTTCTGGGTGGGAACCCCCGTTCAAGTTCGTTGGCGTTACCTTTCGCTCTATTGAAAACACAAGCCCCGGGACAATATGGAAAGTCAGAGGTTATAAGTGCCTCTTTTCTCCTTTTTAATGCCTCAGTTTTATTTTATTTTATATTTTTAAAGGCGCAACGAGCATCGTTCCTTAAATATCGCGTTACTATACAGAACCCAAACACAGGGGTCGTCGGGCGGTGGAAATCTCAAGGGAATAAATAAAGAGACTTTTATTTAAATATATATACATATATATTTGTTTTCTTGGCAAAGTTGAACTCTGGAGTTAGCTCCAGATCTGAAGGCTATTGACTTTCACACGCAAAAGTAACGGGGAGGGGGGGTGTCACCGTTACTTCTACTCCCTGGAACTTAACTTCCCTCCTTTTTCCCTCTTAAGAAAATGTTTTATTACATGAAACTTGATTTGGAAGACTCTGGTGGGGAGGGTGGGAAGCTCCAGGTGAGAAAAATACAAGGATCAAGTGTAGAATTTGGGTGTGTGGATCTCTTGTGTGTAAAGAGAGAGTCACAATATGAAGTGGGATCTGGTCCAGGAATTCTCAAAGGAAATCTATTCAGGGATAGCCGTATTGGCCCTATGGTAAACGTACAATAACACCCCAAATCCACAAACCAGGGCTGCCTTTCTTCGGCCAACCAAAAGGCACCAAAAACATGAGGGAAGCTTTCGAAGAAAGGCAGCCTTGGTTTGTGGATTTGGGGTGTTATTGTACTTTGCAATAAACGACTTTGTCCTTAAAGTGCCACAAGAGGCTTTGTCGCCTTTGCTCTGGAAATGCTTACATGGCATATAAAACTGTCTATTAAACCGCACTTAAGATCCATTAAGCCATCCGGGTTGTTGTTGTTTCTATAGTTTATTTTATTTTGCTTTTTCCAAACGGACCAACAAACAAACACTCAGACTCTTAACGTCCCGATCGCTCTGCTTTGCAAAGAGAAAGCAAGTGTCAGCACTGACTCGTTTTAAAACTCTCCTTCCATAAACACGTCCAAAGAGGATTCCGAGATCTATCTGGGCGGGAGTGTGGGGGAAATCCGTCTGCAAAGGGATCTTGTGGCACTTTGGAGACTGAAGAAAGGAAGGGATCTATTGGCACCTTGGAGAGTAAAGAAAGAAAAGGATCTCGTTGGAGAGTAAAGTAAAGAAAGGGATCTAGTGGCACCTTGGAGAGTAAAGAATGAAAAGGATATCGTGGCAACTTGGAGAGTAAAGTAAAGAAAGGGATCTAGTGGCACCTTGGAGAGTAAAGAAAGAAAAGGATCTCGCTGGAGAGTAAAGTAAAAAAGGGATCTACTGGCACCTTGGAGAGTAAAGAATGAAAAGGATCTCGTTGGAGAGTAAAGAAAGGGATCTACTGGCACCTTGGAGAGTAAAGAATGAAAAGGATCTCGTTGGAGAATAAAGTAAAAAAAGGGATCTATTGGCACCTTGGAGAGTAAAGAATGAAAAGGATCTCGTTGGAGAGTAAA